CTACATTATGCCTTCAAGTATGTTTGGTTTCTGTTTGTCTGTTTCCCATACTTTGAACTGAACCCAGGGCTTCTCACATGGTAGGTAAGTACTATGAGGTTTTATCCTCAGCTCTCTTTTAACTTTTTGAGACAAGGTTTCACTAAGTTAAGCAGGCTGACTTTGAACTCGTGGTTCCCAAGAATCTATGCATGTCTGAACTACCAGACCTGGAGGCCTTATTATAGAACTTACTAGAATTTTCAAAATGTCTACCTTTTGGGTTAAGTTACTAAATGCTGCTAAAATTAATCATGGGAATTAATCTACTGTCAGTATTTAATGCCTTAATATCTATTAGTTCACCATCACATTTAATAAGAGTCTGTTTTGGCCAAGAAGTGGGTTTGGAGGCTTTAGAGAGTGCGTGGTGAGACTTCAGAGCACTGAAAACATCCTTGACTCTGACAATACTTTGGCTCTTCAGGAATGGCTCTGAAAAGAGTAGGGGAACCAGGAAGTGAGATGGCCTCAGGAATAAACTACTTCTGGTTTTCCCTTGGACCCAGTCTGTGGCTCTGCACTCCTCCATTAGCCTCTAGAAATGTTCTCATTCTGATTCAGCTCCAGCAGGTATTCTCCCATGTAAACGCCATCTGTTTACATAATAAAGACAATTCAAAGACAAACTGCTGGCTGGTAACATTTCCTAACCTCTACTTCTGAATTTCTCTTGACCGGTTCTCTGAGACAATCACAAATTATCTCCTTTCCCTTCTTCTTGGACAATGAAGGACCCATAAACGTTGAGGCAGCGAGTAAGTGTCAGATTTGGGGATCTCCCTCTCCCTCTACTCTCTGCTTGGTCAGGATGCTCCGCACAGCACGGCCCCTGAGAACAAAATGAAGCCTTTGAGCTAATCACACGTTAGAAAGCTACTTTGAAGGCACTATGAATCCATCAAGCTGTCCTCAAGTGTTGAGTCTTGCTAGAGAGAGTTCCTGGCCAACATTTGGCTCATAGCAGAAACACAGTCAGGATTTTAGTTGAGGAGACCTGGAGAGACTGCCACCGTCATTAACTTGCACTGGAATTTGAAGGTACCTAGGTGGATTGCTTGATTCTGCTTCCTAATAGAATGTTTTGGCTGACAGACTTAATACGGGAGAAACAGATTTTTAAATGATACAACTGAATGCACACACTACACTAAACAATCTTCATGTCTTTAAAAAGCATGTGTAAAGTTTGTATTGAGTTTTAGTTTCATCTTCATTGATAATAGCACAGGCAATCTATGCTCTGAAATATTTCAGAACTTTATACATTAATTGTGGTTAAAGGTGTGGGCACATTTAATACAATACAAACTCTGTCTAGTTCTAGTATTCAGACATAGGACTAAAACCCTTCTCAGAGACCCTCAGATTTGAAGGATGTTATTTGACATATAGTATGTATCAATGGTATAGCAGTAAACCAAGTTGTATCTGGGTTCTCTGATTGTTTGGAAGACATCTGAGGTCAGCAAGAACTGAGGCTTTTCCAGATAGTAATGGCTCTACCTAATCAATCTGAGGGTTTCAGCATTTTGAATCTGCAGATGGTGATGAATCAATCCTGACTTTTTATTGATGTGCATTGCAAATTTAAAGTGGGGGAAAGCTGTGATTATTTTAACTTAGGTTAATACATATTCTTGGGCCTTAGTTGGAGTTTTACAGTGTAATTTTTCTGCTTCTGCTCTTTACCAATATAAAATGAATCACAACTAAAAATATATTACATTTTTAAAAACAGATTCAAACAAAAAATGATAAATGTTTGGAAATAGCATAAAGTCTTGTGGTTTATGACTGAGTTTTTTAATCTAGCACAGCACAGTGAGCATTTCCTGTTTTGATCCATAAAATAACCATGTAAGTCCCTTTCTGGCATGCGCTTTGTATGAAATATTGACAGCTTTGGTTAAATAATCAAAACTGGCAATGCTGTTTTAAAGCACTGTTCAATTTTCACTTAAAGATAGCACATAATTCTTCCAGCGGTGTAGTCTTTACAATACTATTGATTGTTTTCATTACTGTAGGGATCCTGCCACAGGCACCCATTTATAGGACTCTCAGAAGCAACAAATAATAGGATTTGGAGGGAACACATACTAATTCTGTTAGTATTTGAAGCTTCCAAGTATATATCTAAATACACCATTTTTAAAGGCTATGCTGGAACACCTTTTCTTAATCTAGCAAAATATTTTTTTAGCCAATATGAAGAGACTAATCAGCACTTCTGCTTCTACAACTTATGATCATAGTACACACAGACCATGGCAAGATATAACTAAATACAGAATACAGCTGACTGCAGAAAAAAGGGATGCAACCTTGGAAGACACAGCAGGAACCTCCTTTGTTTGTAGACCAGAGCCCTTATCATTTAAACATCCAAATTATCAATAAATACTACTCAATATTAGAGAGCTGAGACAATTTCATTTTCACCTTTATTGAATAACCTACAGTTGTATGAGCTTTCTGGAAACCCCAAGTGTGGCTATTTTGGTGTCTCTTCCACACTGCCATGTCATGTAGCATCGCCCAAATCATTTGCTGAATAGACACAATTCAGGATAACATATTATGCCTTTAAACAAAATGATTTTATAACTTGGCAGTTCTAGACCTCACCATTAGTCTTCAGTGCTTTCAAACTCTTTAGTTAAAAAATAAAAATCCAAGCCGGGCGGTGGTGGCGCACGCCTTTAATCCCAGCACTCGGGAGGCAGAGCCAGGCGGATCTCTGTGAGTTTGAGGCCAGCCTGGTCTCTAAAGCGAGTTCCAGGAAAGGCACAAAGCTACACAGAGAAACCCTGTCTCGAAAAACCAAAAAAAAAAAAAAAAAAAAAAAAATCCATTTGGTAGTCAAAAGAATAGGTGTACTGCATAATTTTATGTCAACTTGACACAAACTATAGTCATCTGAGAGCAAGGAACTCAATTGAAAAAATGCCTCCATAAGATTGGGCTGTAGGCAAGCCTGTTAGGCATTTTCTTAATTAGTGATTGATGTGGGACGGCCCAGCCCATTGTGGGTGGAGCCATCCCTGTGCTGGCAGTCCTAGGTTCTATAAGCAATCAGATTGAGAAAACCATAAAGAACAAGCCAGTAAGCAGCACCCCTCAATGGCCTCTGCATCAGCTTCTGCCTCCAGGTTCCTGCCCTGTTTGAGTTCCTGTCCTAATGGACATCCTTCAATGATGGACAGTGATGTGTAAGTGTAAGCAGAATAAGCCCTTTCCTCCTCAAGATGTCACAGCAATGATAACCCTGACTAAGACAATAGAGAATCAGAATATTACTGTCAAGTATAGGATGCCACAGCATGGGCATGGGTAGGTATAGGAGACACAATGAATTGGTGTTGTTTTGTTGCCTTTTGGGAAGTACAGACAACAAAGTCATTTCGTGATCTAATGAACTGGGTTCCTTCAAAGCTGAAATAGAGCGTTCTTACATAGAATTAATAGTCTTGCTACAGAGACTTTTGTCTGATTCAAATGCAGCACAAGTGACTTACTGATTTGGAAGCAAGTTGTTTCTCTGACTCCTCCTCTGCCCTCTTTCTACACTTCACCCTTCTCCAGTGACTTGCAGGCTTGGACACGAAGCCCCACAAAGAGGGAATGAGTGTAGGGTTTGGAGTCAAAGTAATCCAAGAGAAACCCTGCTCTGCCACTCAGTGCTGTATGATCATAGACAAGTCACTCAAGTCAGTCAGCCTCTCCTTATGTATTAAATGGAATTACTAATGTTGCCTTAGTCATAGGTTATTATATTAAATGGGAAACTCATATAGAGGATGCATGCAACAAGGGCCGGTTCCTACTGAATGTTCAGTAATGTTAGTTATTATTGTTCTTACTATCATTTTATAATTAAAGCATGGATTTTGATCCCTTAAAATTTCATCTATTTAATCCCAGTTATTGAGAAAGTATTGTTTCGTATCAAATGCAGGACAGCTGCAATTCCAGCAAGGCTGTTTCTAAAAGTGGTTTTTGTTGTTGTTGTTTTAAGTTTTAGATTTTTATTCCTTTTTAAATCCTAAAAATAGAACCTTTTTTCCCCAACATAATATTTTTCTTGATTATTTTGGAATTTCACATAATGTCCCCTGATCACCTTCACTTCCCAGTCCTCCCAGGTCCAGCCTCCCCATCGTGATCTGCAAATGTTTTTCTCTCAGTTATCTGTCTTTATAATACATTCATTCATGTCACAAATACAGGCAACTTGGCCAATTGGCCAAACAAATGTAGGTTAGTGAGAAAAAAATGTCTTCTACATTACAGTACTTATTTATTTTAGGTTACAGTATTAAAAGCTCAACAGAGTTTTTAGAACTATATTTTTATAGTCTTGACATTATTAAAACAATCATTTGAAGATGCAATAACCAAACACCTAAGTTACTGAGAAAGAAAGGTGACAATTCCAGGGTCCAATTATACATGTTTAAAGTGTCTTTTCTTTTTTCCTCACAAGTCAGCAGTAATAGATTTTTAATTTCTCACAAATACAACTGCATTTTAAACATGGCTTTTATCCCATTGGCTAGTGATTTCTTTATATCATACATCACTTCAAACTTCCTGAATCTGTCCTAATGAGTGGAAGGGAGCCTGATAAACAGACTGTGTAGAGATATACTCTTAGCACCACAGCCAAGCTGCTGTGACAGAAAGGAAACACGCTTTATTGTGTTCTGTACCTTTGCCCCACAGATGATAGAACAGTTGGGCCAGCTGGTGACTGACCACTTGCAAGTCCGACGCTGGGTCTTTAAAATGAACATGGAATTTGGAGGAAACGGGACGGCATTTTGTGACATCCCTTCCTACCTAGAGTGCTACAAGTGGGCGCTTAAGGAGAGTAAAAGATACGGCCATGAAGACTGGAAGAAGAAGTGGGCACAAGTGAGTGTTCAGGGGTGACTTAAACCACAGTGCTATGGACAGTCAGGAGATAAGATCCTTTCTCCCAGACTTAGCCCTGTCATCTATCAGCAGAGCCTTTCCTGGGCCTTAGTCCTAACGAACAATATGAATGGACTTATTGCGTTACTTAAATGTCCATTTGGGGGGCCAAAACATCTTTTTTCACAACGTCAAACTGATATGATACCTAAGAAATGACTAAAAGACCATAGTCAGGTAGCATTACAAATCTTAGCATCTGCCCTGAGCAGTTTCTGTGCTTCTGCCAACCGTGGTGATTAAGCTAGCTGTGTTTTATTATGAGGAATTCTACTAGCAAATGGTGGTCATTGTAAGCTAATGTAAAATAGCATTCTGTCAGGAGCCATGTTTTCGAAGACACTCTAAAGAAACCTATGTAACTACTAGTCCCTATGAGATGCTGAGAGAAGAAAAGACCCCAGAAGAGAACTTTCAGAAAAAGCTGAGTAGTAGGCTCAGGGTCTCAGGCTATGAGTGGAGGTGTGTAAACCTTTCCACATAGGTTGGTGAAATGAATTATACAACCTCAGTCTGCTCCAATTTTGCTTAATATCTGTACATGGTTTAATGTTTAACCTGACCTCGACACACTGTCCCACTTTGTATCCTTACACCCAGCTTCTGTTTATCACACTACCTTGTTTTTCCTGCCCTACTACAAAAAAGAAAATTGACAGGCAAACTCCTTATATGATCCCTTTCCTCCCAGCATGCATAGCGGTGGGCCTTGCAGTGATTTGCATCTGCTTTGCGCATCCCACTACAGAAGTCTATGAATCAAGACACAAGTGATAGAAAGGAAGGGGAACACTGGTGGGAACCACATTATTCCTGGGCAAGTGAAATGATGAATAAATCTAGAGAACAGTCAGGAGGAGAGTTCCTTTTAACAAATGGGTCGGTTCTCCCCATGATCTATTCTGGGCTTTCTTCCCCCTCCAACAGTGAACGGACTAAATGCAGTACCTGTCATGGCTAGCTCTTTACATATTATTTAAAGGATACCAAAATGAATTACTCTTCTAGAAAAAAAATAAAGCAAAGAAAATGTATTTAATTTTGAGGCCAATAGAGGTTTCTCTTATGTTCTCTTTGAACTGGATTTTATCTTTGTGAAGCAAAGCTGTTGAGTTTAAACCATGAAAAAGTCTAGACACTTTTATTTTAAAGAATTAAAATACTAGTGTATACAGTGTTTGCTGGCCTCAGCATTTCAAACCAATAATTTTTAAAGAATTCCCTTGACATTAGACTATGATAAATTTGAAATGTTTGACTTTGAGTTTTAAAAATATTTGCAGTACTGACATTTGGCTGAATTGTGGTTAGAAACCTCACTATAGATTATTTAATTTCAATTATTTTAAACTATGCCATTTTAAATTGTTACCAAATACATTTGGCACTGTTGTTAATGTTATTAAATTTGAGACTCTTAAATAATTAATGTTCTATTTAAATCATTTAAAAAAAACTTAACAGGGAAAAATAATTATTCAGAAATCCTGTTATGATGCATGGCTCATGCTTAGCTATGATGCGTGAGAAGCCAAAGCTAAAAATAAAATGAAGTCCCTGTGAGCTCCCTTCCCTCTTGCAGGGACTAACGACAGCTTATGCCTTCAAAGGGAACCTCCTTAGAGTGGAGGGGAGCTGCGGGTAGCTATTGAGAATTTAGGATTGGAAGCCCCCTTTGTTCCAGAAGAGCATTGTAACGGTGCACATTTAGACATCAAAGCATTACTTTATGAGCACAGGCGTGTTTTAATGTCCTATTACAGTCTGTAGACCTGCTCCTTTTGATAATGAAGATGTTGTATCATCAAGCCTAGCCTGGCACATACAAAACATATGCTGGCAGGTTATTAAAAATTTCAGCTTCTTGATGAAAGACTATCCTGCAGGCTAAGAGTCCAGAGAAAGACTCCATTCTGGGAGAATTATTAGAAATGAGAATATGACTGTAAGCACTAAATTATGTTAATACTTACAAATGGCATCATTTGCATAGCAGTTTGAGACACGATGCCGCCGTGATTTCTTCATTGGTATGTCATAGGCGACAGATGAAAGCAGCGCTGTTTATGGGGTGGGAGCTACTGTGGAGTCTTTTGCAGACGCTGGTCTTACAGGTAAGTAGGATTTGGTGTAGACATAGATAGACAACATAAAGACCACCTCTTTGTCCACTCTAATTTTGAACTGACCTTTGGCTGGCTGCAGTTGAGACTTGAAACAAAGTCACATGAGTCGTCAGATGCTAAAAAGCCATAGTCACCCTTGAAAATTCAGGATCAAGATGTAGGAACCTTTGGAAAAGCAGAAAGGCCACAATGGAAACAAAACATGAATTTTCTTATTTTCTCAGAGGCTGGTAACAAGCTTCTGCTTGTAATCCTATTGGCCAATGGAACCGGCTCCCCTTGCTCCACCCACTGGATCCCAATAAGCTCAGTTGTGGAGTACACAGCACTTGCTAAGGTTTCTGAATTCTTGCACAAATGCACGATTCCTTGCTTCTGAGTCAGGGTATTGTTTTTGGTTTTGTTTGTTTGTTTGTTTTTCGAGACAGGGTTTCTCTGTGTAGTTTTGGTTCCTATCCTGGATCTTGCTCTGTAGACCAGGCTGGCCTCGAACTCACAGAGATTTGCCTGCCTCTGTCTCCTGAGTGCTGGGATTAAAGGCGTGCGCCCCCACCACCCGGCAGAACAGCATGTTTTTTAAAGATTGAACTTTTTCATTTTATCTGTATTGGTGTTTGGCCTGCATGTATGCCCGTGTACCGTGCGTGTGCCTGGTGCCTGAGGAAGACGGAAGAGGACATCCTAGAACTAGTCACACTTATAGCCACCATGTGGGTGCTGACAACCAAACTCTGGTCCTCTGTGAGAGCAGGAAGTCCCCTCAACTGCTCAGCCATCTCTCTAGCCAGCAAGAATAGTTTTTTGGTTTTTTTTTTTAACCCTTCCTTGTACACTACTTTGTTTGACTGTGTTAGAGTGTTAGACATTTGGTATTAATTTAAGCATCACCAAAAGGGGAAGATCCTCATTCAGGGTACCCAAACTTAGAAAGGCAGAGTAAACCGTAATCATCATTTCATCTTCTTAGAGAACTAAGTCAGTGAACAAACCATTACAAGGGAGACCTGCCCACCACACTGAGCAAAGAACAACCCCCACTGCCTCTGTGGAGCCTTGCAAGCAGTAATGGGGACTACTTGTAGGGGACTGACCTAGGTGCCTCATGGAGAACATGGTTTGGCTTTATCAGGTGAGCTCAAAAAAGCCATTGACTCATCACCACAGAATGTTTAGTGAAGTTAAAATATAATAACAATATTAAAGATATGTCTAACCAAATAAGTGTAAAATCACTTTCTCATTGCCTTCATTTTCCTGACTTAATTCTCAAATGTGTATCAGCTCTCATTGCCAAAATAATTGTAAATATGCTAATTAAACATAAGATCTTAGCCATTTACCCTGTTTATTCATATTCATCACAATTAGTGCTGCATGTTACTCCATTTTATTAATTCTAATATGCTAAACCATTCACCTGTCTGAAAACTTAAGCTCATCTCCAGTTTTGTTTTGTTTTTGTTTTTAAATTGTGGACCAGAGAAAAGCTTTGTTTTTAGTTTTAGTGTGTGCCAAAAACAAAAACAAGACAAAAAACTTCTGTTGTATTTTTCTAGGAGAAAGACCCATGAGTAGAATGCTGTATGAAGCAAGAGGGCTTTGGCTCCTGTTGTATATGCTGTGTTTATAAGAAGGTGCTAATGGCTTCCTAAACCACTAGCAGAGCACACAGAACAAGGGAAGACTTCCTTAAATTCCTAGAGAAGCACCCCCACCTTAGGTCTGGCCTTGGGGCCATGCCAGTGCTGCTGCTCTGGCTGATTTTCGACTTTCCACAGACTTTCTCAAAGCACCGATGTCCCCGAGCACAGTCACTCACTGCTCTAGAGTGTTTCCCTTTCCCACAAGGCAGTGCATTGGGGGGGGGGAGGCTGTCAGTATGCAGACCTCGGCCTCATGGGAAGGGCCTGCTCAGGAGTCCCTGGAAAACCTGGCTGCCTCACCACATGCACAGCTGTTAATGTGCCCAGCTGACAAAAGAGAATTTTATATATTACCTTGTACCCAGTCATGAGGATATACACTTTGTGCCTTTCTCGATTTAATACACTGGCATAGTCATTTGAGTCCACCTATAAATTATCAAAAAGTGTTGACTTTCCCAATCAGATGCAGCACTAAAAACATGATGAGCAATTCAACTCATTCTTTTTTTTTTTGCATAAGCCACCAAAAATTTTGGTTTGTTTTTACTTATTTTTAGACATAATTCAGGTTTCCATGGTAAACATTTTTAAGCAGGAAAAGAGTACTGAGAAGTACAGAACTGAGGGGCAGTTGGCTTCACAAGGTCCCCCTGCTTTGCCTCTCTTAGAGCCTGCTAGGGAACAGCCATAACCAAATTACTAGGCTCTCTAAGAGGCCATCTTTATCTGGAAACAGATAACAGTACACCTGTCTCATGAGGCGGTGCTGAGAACCCAATGAATCCTTGGAATTGGCTAGCAATGTTCTTAGCATATGAAAGTTTAAGACATTGTTGCTTTTTATTATGCATATTAATTAAATTTGTATTAGAAGAAAATACAAGCAATACTGAGTAAATACAAATCAGTTGTTCTTTGGCAATTCAGAAGGTTCTTTAGAAGGCTTTTGTAGCCTTAAAGAATACTGTAGCATGCTTCAATTATCATTATACAAGATGCTGTCAAAAATTCAGAATGATGATCCAATTGTCCCTATGCTATGATTTTCCCAATGAATGCCTTTAAAAGAATAGCTCTTGATAGCAGCCTGGCCTCTTACCATTTGAAAGTAGAAAACAATACGTGTATTATAGCTTTCTCCATGTTGAATAAAGAGGCTTGATAAAGTCGAGATTATTCTGACCAAAACATTGAGTCTGGATGCTTCATTTTCTGGTTCCAGTTGGCATATTTTCTAATTAGTGTAGCAGCACGTCACCACGATCATTGGAAAGTCTTAATCATTTACATATTTTTTTTCTTAGCTCTGAGAATGACTTAGAACGTTTTCTTCCAGTTCAATGGTTATTTTCATGGAGCTGCCAGGGTTGAGTTTGAGGTACTTCTCTGTGCCTGAGGATGATGACAGGAGAAGGAAAATTGCCTCCCCAGTTAAATGAAAGCCAGGGTACCCCTTCCGAGGACCTATAATAATCAGCTATACAAGCTGTTGGCTTGTGTGTCCTATTGATTTAATATGCTTCTAATCAGTACATAAAGCTATGGGCCTGCAGTGTTAATTTTTCATATGCTTACAAAGTACCCTTTGATTTTCTGTCACACGTTAATTACAGCGTTTTGCCATTAAATAGGAAGCTTTGTGTAAACTAATTACTAGGTAATCATTGTCTACTGCAAGCGTGCTGTTTGTACCTTTTATTTTATTCTAAAAATGCACAGATCTCACAGTCTGGAAACACTCTACCTTCCAGCCATTAGCTCTCACTAATTCATAGCATTATTGTGGAGAGTGGAGGAGTTGTAATTGTTGTGGTATCAGAGCTGTTAATTACCGGAGTAAACAGTTGAAATGGTGCCAAGGTCTATTGTACAAGGCAGAGAAAAGGAGGTTTAAATGTTACTCCCACCATCTGGGGACTGGAGGAGAGGCAAATGCTTGGAAGCAGTGGCGAGGCGCTGCCGCCGCTTCCGCTCCAGGGTTGGCGGCCATATGGATCCAGAGAAACTGGAATCAATTGAATTTAACTGCCAGTTTTTCACAATAACAGCGCGGAAGGAGGGAATAAAACAGAAGACGAGAAGAAGGAGAATTGGTTAGTGTTTTCATACCCAGGAAGGTCCCGCTGGAGTGCTTTTGGAATTGTCTGCTCTGGTGAAAACCACAGAGCAGGCTCGGGCTTTGGAACGGATTCAAAGTGAGCTTTGCCTCTCTGACGGCCACAGTGCCATGTGCTTCTGGTCATCTGTCCTCGGTGCCCCTTGGTGAGTCAGGGATGCCCTTGAGAAGTCTAGGACTTTCTGTGACTGAGCCAGTCTCAAGACAGCCCCCAACTGTGGGATTCACTGGTCTCCTCCTGTGCATGGTCTGTAGAAAGAATAATCAATTTACAATGCTGCCTACATCTTCCTGACTCCTTTTATGCCATGTGTGGAAACACCTAAAAAGGTCCAGCTCTTCTCTTGATTGAGAAACGATGTTGCTTGCCCATTCCTTTTGTATAGAATTAAATACAAAAGTCTCTTGATAATCTCTCCGTTTCATTCCTGGAACTCAGTCTTTCCCCACACTTGAATGAGAATCAAAGCCTGGTCTACAAAGTGCGTACCAGGACAGCCAGGGCTACATAGAAAAACAAAACAAAACAAGAAGAAAGAAAGGAGAATCAAGTCCAAAGGGCATGTGATTTCCTTTTGTCTTCACTCTGCAATTAAAGAGCTTCCATCAGCATCCACCGTTTTCCCAACCAGCCTTATTTCTCTATGTGGATAGGAAGAAACCTGTTTCCAGAAGTAACAGTTATGGCTAATTCCACTTATGGTTGATTTAAACATGACATGGTTTCTGTTTTAAAATATTGGAAAATCTTTGAAACAGTCATATGTATTTACTGGTTGTCATTCTTACAGTTCAGTATAATTTCCTTGAAAACTATTTTCCAATGGTAAGAATATTTGTCTATCACCAGTCATTTGCTGCGGTAACTACTTTTCAGTATCATTCCCCAAACATGAACATATTCTTCTCTTTTTAAACCACCCTGGATTACTGTATTTATTTCTAATCGTTCCTTTAGCAGATGTTGAAGTAATTTGGGGTGTAATATAAACAACTCTTTTAAAGAGAGAAATCACAGATACACCAGGGGAAAAGGGGGCAGCATATATCAGGCTTTTATAATGGCAGTTTTGTCAGAGGAGGGAGAATTTTCTCCTCCTTTTGTGTATGTGCAAAGTTCAATTAAGAATTTCTGGAAGCACTTCATCTTTATCTGTTGAAACCCCCAGCATGCAGCGCGACAGGATGAGCCTAGAAACAAACAAACAAACAAACAAACAACAACAACAACAAAAGCCTAGCTCCCTGCGGTGAGGGGAACGGGAAACAGCAGTGTGCGCACTGGAAAGTGGAGAGGGAACGAACTTCTTCGCGTTTGTGGTCGCAGTGAAACAGTTGTGCTGAGCTTTGGAATAGAAGCACAACATATGTGCCTCAGTTGGACAAAATGCTTCTCAAGTCAC